TGTGTGCCTTATGGCACGAGGTAACAAAAAGCCTATCCCTAGTGATAATGACAATGATAGTGATAGTGATGATGAGCTACCTTCTTATGATGAAATTGTGCAAGAAAATCTTAACTTTGCAAAAGTTTGCACTAGTCAACAAAAGAAGCTTGAAAAAATAAAATAAAAAATAGATAGCTCACAACAAGCTTATGCTACTTTGCTTGAACAATATGAAACTTTTGCCAATCTTAATATGGAGCTATCTACTAAAATTGAGCAACTTGAGACTAGTGCAAACACAAATAAGTGCACAATCAATGATGAGCAACTTGTGAAGAAAATGAAAAATTAAAGGAAAAGTTAGCTAGCTCACAAGATGCTTATAAAAGTTTGCTCGCTAAAATGGAAACCATGTGCAAACATTGTGATGAACTAACTAATAAAGTTACAAATCTTGAAGCTGTCGGTACAACCCCCACCGAGGCACCTAAAAAGAAAGGTTCAATTTTTGACATGCCCAGAAAAGGTGCCTCTACTTCTTGTAATGATTTATGTTTAGACTCACCCTTGTGCAACTAAGTTTGTGTTGAGAAAGTTGTTGTAGAAACATGCACACAAGAGGTCGCAATGGAGAATGAGCAACTCAAGCAAGAAGTGGCTCGCCTCACCAAGGACTTGACTCGAGTGAAAGGCAAGACGGAGCAAGCCCAACTTCATCAAGATAACACCGTTAAGGGAGTGAAGAAGCTTGATGAAGGACAAACCATGGTTTGCTACATATGCCACAAGGAAGGCCACAAGTCCTATGAGTGCAAGGTGAAGAATGGGGGAGGAGCTAAGAAGAAAGAGAAAAACAAAAAGGAAACAAGCAAGCTCACCAACAAGGTGGATAAAAAGGCCTCCACACCTTATCTCTTGAAGAAGAAGAAAAATGACAAGGTGGTGGCCATCAAGATGAACAAGCAAGCCAACAATGGGGCCAAACTCTTTTGGGTGCCAAAGGAGATCATTTTCAACATGAAGAGCACCAAGAAGGTTTGGATCCCAAAAGAGAAGTGAGAAGTCTGGTGGACTTTGCGGAATTTGGAGACTTGGCAAAGTATGGGTGCATTTCATGGGGTGCATCATTATGGACAAGGTAATTGCCAAGTGGGTTAGTAAATACTATAGACCCAAATTCTCCTTCCCATGTTATGCAACTAGATTTAATTTCTTGCAATTTCAATTAGCATCTAGTTCCATTTCATGCCTAGGTTTGCATTTGCATGTTTAATCTTTTGTCTTGCATACACTAGGTATATCTTATGGTAGGCTTCACTCTTAACCCTTGGAGCAAACCTACATGGTTTAAATTATTTAGGAGCACGGCACATAGCTTGTTTTACAATTGTTCATTTAATATGTGCCAAATTCCAAATTGTAGATAATTTCTCATGAATATCACTTTTGAAAATGATTCTCACATTCATGTGATGTCATCTTTCAAGTGGTATTTTTTATTCTAAAATCAATGTGCATGTCTCCTACAAGCATTCCATACTTGTGTGCACAAATTTAGGGGGAGGTTACTTTACAAGTCGGATGCTTTGAGACTAACACCTTTTCAAACTTATCATGTGTGTAGTAGTCTCATTGCAAGAAAAATGGTGTCCCCAAAGTTAAGCATCATACTTCAAATATCCACCACCTATTGCAAGTGGTATAAATCAAATTGGTTTGCACATGTGGTATTTATAAACTGATATCATCATGTTGATTTCACTTTGGTATTTATATGCTTTGTCCATGCATTATATAGATTAAACTCCCTTGAGCATTAATTTGCCAATTATGCACAAACTACATTCTTCATCATATGTATGCATATATTTAGGGGGAGCTTAGTCTATGTAATGTGAGAGTCAAATTTTGTGACCTATTCCACTCCACATACAAAGGATCACAAAGTTTGACCCTCCCTTGTGCTACTAATGTCTTCCTTTTCGGTGTTTGATTCCAAAGGGGGAGAATTTGTAGGACCAAAAGCAAGCCCGATCATAATAATTTACAAGTGATAATGGTCCAAGAAAGAGAGGATAGTGGATTATGGAGTAAGGGAGAGGCTTAAATCCATAATGCCACATGGGGACATTTGTAAGGGCAAGATAAATTTCCAAAGATGTTTACATGTGGTATGCATTAGCTTACATGTGGTATCTTTTAGCATCATATAACCTTGCCCTTTGCATTGCATCCTAGCAAGTAAATAGTTTTTAAATTTCAAAAATTTTATTATTTGTTTGTTTTGGTCGTGTTGTTATCAATCACCAAAAAAGGGGAGATTGTAAGGAAAATGGACCCTAGGCCTATTTACTTTGGATTTTAGTGTTTGATGACCAACACAACCAAATTACACTAATGAATTTGCAAGTAATTGTTTTGTAGTTTAATAGGGTGCAAGATGTGACTTGGACGAAGGTGACATGATGATCCCACGATCAACACCATAAGCAGGACCCTAGAAGCACAAGAGAAAACCCAAGATATCAAGCAAAGTCCAAGCACAAAGATGGGAACCAAGCGGAACGCAACATCGCGAAGAAACGAGCTCGACAGAGGTGACCGGACGTAGCCCTATGAGGACCTGACATGTCCGATCAGTTGCTCGGCAACAGCAGGCATCAGCGTCTGTGACCAGACGCACCGATGACACTATTCTTCATCACGGCAATGTTTTCAGCATGACCGGACGCTGCGGCACTGGATGACCGGACGCACTAAGTGCAGCGTCCGATCATGTCCAAAGAGGTTCCAGAGCGGCGGAATTGTGACCGGACGCATCTGGTCTATGATGACCGGACTCGGCAGTGCGTCCGATCCCTGCACGTGCACTCAACTGTTAGGATGACCAGACGCGTCCAGTCAGGATGACAGCAGTGTCCGGTCAGTAGCAGAAAGCTGGGTTTCGTGCACAATGGCTACTTTCTCCATGGAGCTTATAAATAGACCCCCCCAACTAGCCATTTGAGTAGTGGAGAGCTAAGGAAACATACCAAGTGTGTTGATACACCATTTTAGTGATCTTCACTTGCATAGTGCTTAGTGATTCATTAGGTGATTAGCGTAGGTCTTTTGCAAAGTGCTTAGGTTGATTAGACCACCGCTTATGCGCTTGCTCTAGGTTTAGGCCTAGTGATTAGTGAGGTTTGTATACCTCTTACTACTTGGTGCTTGCGCGCACCATTGTTGTACATTGGAGGGGGTTATAGTCATGCGAGATCACACCAACCGCGTTTGTGGTGTGGCCGCCACCGTGTACCGAAGAGAACAAGGCCCATGGCAGTTTGGCCAGAAGCTTGATAGTGAAGACGGCGGGGAGCGGTCCGGGAGAGGCTTGCCGGAAGGCACACCGGAGACCCACTTGCGCGTGGGGAAGGCCCGGGGCTATCCACGGAGTTACCCGACCGAGAGCTTGGCTCTTGCGAGGGATTCCTTGCGGGGGGCTCAAAGGAGGATTAGTGGGAAGCTTGTGCGCTTCTCGATACCTCGGTAAAAATACCGGAGTCGTCGACGGGAGTTTGCATATCTCTACCCTACAATTTAGCTTTCGCATTTACATTGCAATCTTGGTTTGTGCTTTACTTTCCTAGCTTAGTGAAAGGCTAGTTGATAGGTTTGGAACCTAGGTTGTATAACTCCTTTTTACTGTAGAGAGCAAGACACTAGCAAAACCTTAGTTGCACATTTAGATAGTTTATCTTTTGCATAGGTTTTTGCTAAGGATAGAAAAAGAGGTCATAATTTAGAGTTAGAGTTTTAAGTTGCCTAATTCACCCCCCCCCCTCTTAGGCGTAACGGTCCTATTACATAGTGAAAAGTTGAAGTGAAGATCAATATGTGAGGAGGAACATATTGAATATAGGACATGACATTGTCTCATATGGCTAGATGGTGATGTTCAAGGCAAGGCTTGGCTGCGAAGGACCGTGTGTAAGTGTGAAGGGCAAGTTAGAGGCTCGAGACATAATGAACCATCGAGGCAGTGAAGTGCAAGTAGAGGGCTTGGTGCTGATGGACCAAGGCAATGGACAAGAGCAAGAAAACTAAGGTTGATGGACTATGAAGGTCATGGGAAACTATGAAGCGGAACATACCATTTCATGGACATCAAGCTAAGTGAAGACTTGTGAAGATATGAAGTGGCATGATGGAGTGAAGACGGAGGAGCTCCATGCTATGGACAATGGTCTAGTGGCAAGGTTGGCCACACAGGTTGATGACCATTGTTCAACATGTTGATGATGGAGAGTGGATGCTCGCAGGCATCACATGGAGATGAAATAGAATGTGCGAGGCAAATGTATGATTTGTAGGACATTTCATTTCACTAGCTATTGGTGTGTAGATAAGTGCACAACCTGGTTTACGATAGATAGCCATACTATTAAGGGGAGAACTTATTTGCATGATGGTTATGCATTTGAAAACCTTTGTGATCTAACTTTGTAGATAGTGCTACTTGAGTGATCTAACTTTGTATGCGTGCTAGGACCGAGTGACGGTTTGAGATGCATTTGAAAACCTTTGTGAAATAATTTGAAAAATGCTAACATATGCTAAAGGTGTTGGTTGTATTGAGGGACAACTCTTGGTGTCAGCAATGCTATTTATAGAAACTATCCATTGAGAATATAATTTTCATGTGTAGTGTCTACATGAATTGTTAAGTACGGAAACTATCTTGTAGTTTCATGCCCGTCCTAAGGAACCCAAACAGATTCTTGTTTTTTCTCACTAATAATGTGTAAGTTTTACATTTGTACTAGTTATAAATAAAATAATGCAATTTCCAAACGTTTTCTGTGAATCCATGCCAATAAGCCATGTTCGTCCTTCTATATATGAAACATTTGGGCATCATCCTATGTCCCAGAACCAGCAGCCGCCTCTGCCCGATTACATTGACCTGATGCAGCTCCGTTGCAGTCAGCCCCTAAGCCCGTGTTGGCGTGGCTCTCCAAGGATTGCCGGCGCAAGGAATGCACGGCCTACGATGGCACTGCCAAAGCCTGCTGGTTAGGCAGTTGCGCTCCCCGGCCCTCATTCGTGGCCGCCGGGAAAACTGCTGTCGAGCACCAGCCTGCGCTTTGGACAGCGGCTCAGAGCTGGGAGCCACGTCCACTGGCATGGTCCATGTCGGAGGCAAGCTGCTGCTGCAGAGCTTCTTGGATTCCCCCAGTCGCCGGCTCACGCTCTCCCTCCAGCTTGTCAGCGCCACTGTCGCCGGTACGATCGATCATTCTTCTTCTCATTTTTTCCCGGGCCCTGTTAGAAAACATACTCCTCCTACGTATTTCGTTGTTTTAATTTTTGGATGAATTGTTCTTCCTTAAAATTTTGGAAGCTAAGATAGCCAGGAGTACTAGCTAGCTAGACAGCTAATGCACCGTAGTTGCCGTGTGCGGTGTAAGAGGTGATGGGCGCGGGGTGCTAGGAGAAGAGGCAGTGCTGGGTGCTGCCATCAGCGGCGCGGAGACAGAGCTGGACGTGACTCTGGCGTGGGACGACGCACTGGGCGTGCCCGGCGCCGTGGTCGTGAAGAACCACTCTGACTTCCCCGTCTACCTCAAGCTGCTGAGCACGGCGGCCGGCGTTCACTTCACCTGCAACGGGTGGGTGTATCCCGTCGGGAAGCACTCGCATCGCCTCTTTTTCACCAATGACGTGCGTATACACAAAACATGCCCATCTTGCTCCCGTCGTGACTACTGATTGCTCAAACCAACGTAAATACTACCTGTGAACCATCATGCAGGCCTATGTCAAAGAGCAGACGCCAAGCGCGCTGCTCAAGTACAGGGAAGACGAGCTCGCCGCCCTCCGAGGAGAGGCAGGCCGCGCGTTCGCTGACGACGAGGAGCAGCCGTTCCAGGAGTGGGACCGTGTGTACGACTACGCTCTGTACAATGATCTTGGGAATCCCGACCTGAGGAAGGACTTGGCGCGCCCCGTGCTGGGGGGATCTCAGGAGTACCCATACCCTCGTCGCACCAAGACCGGCCGGCGACCAAGCAGGGCAGGTAGAGTACGCGTGCTCCCATGCATATTGTCGTTGTCGTGTATCGCACTTTGATATTCTAGACACACTTTTGTCAGCTTGTTATAAAGTATTCAATTATTATATGGGGACAATATAATCTCGGGCTGATCGTTCAAAATAACGTACACTTGTCTCATGCATGCATGGACAGATCGAAAGGGACCTATCGAGGACCGAACTGATGGGTTCGGTTAGACCAAATGCCCACCCCTAACTACACCGCAATGGCACATGGAGCATGGAGAGCAAACGCGTGGGCTAGCTATAGCTTCCCATGGGGCCGTGTGGGTGAGGGGTGTGCATGGAGCTGATCGGTGGCCGCACGCAATGTTAGGAAAAAGTGGAGGTCAATAGAGGAAGAGTAGCAAGTGGCATGGCCTTTGGGGCACCACCAAGGGTGAATACCATGCGGGGAGGTCGCTGGTCAGTGGTCACTCTTGTGTCGATAGGATGTAAGAATAACACGGGAAGTTAGTGGTTATGAGTGCTAGGGGAAGTCCTATTAGTAAGTGTGATTGCATGATTGAGCATCACTCACTGGGAGGAGAAGGCAAGAAAATGTGTGAAGGAAAGGGAAAGAAGAAGAGAGACCGATAGGTGGGCTGTATGTGGCAAGGTGCATAGCATGACGCCTCTGTGGTATAGAACAAGGAGGGACGTGTGCATGGCTTAAGTGGCATGTGTGTGAAGTACAACGACGATGTGCATCACTAGGTGGAACAAAGTCATCGCAAGTTAGCGACTGTGGGACATGATTGATGAGTTGTAGACTTGTAGTGGAAGTGGTGGTGGTAGCAAGGATGCAGGTACTGAATATGTGTGCAAGACAGGTTGCAGCATCGGTCAACAATGTGGGGAAGGTACAGGAAGGATGATAGTGTGCAGTGGTGTCATGCGTGGGGTTGACTGCCACCACTTTAGAGGATGTATGTGATGTATCTTATGGTATGTAGATGAGATCAATACTGGACGCATTTTGCAACGCTTATGTGCCAAATCTGATGGCCTAGTTACATTTTTTTTGACCTATAGACAAAGAACATTTGTCCGTCAGGGACCCCCGTCAGAGCAACCACACTTGGGGTCGGCTGGCCTGTTAGAATGCCCTTAATAGCCATCGAGATGAAGGAACAACAACAAATTAGAGTCTGGAGAGAGAAATACGAAATAAAAGGGTAGTATATTGATATTTGGTTTGATTGAATATAGTCAATAATCAGTCTTTGCGTTCATATTTGTAGGATTAGAAGGTATTACCTCGCGTACAATTGGAATCTTAGAAAATGTAACACAAAACAGACTTATACCCGAATTGCCTAGTAAAAACCATACCATTAGTTTCCAAAATTAGATCCTTTTTAGTTTCCTTAGGGTAGATTGTTTCTATTGCCATAAGTCTCTCTCTCTCTCTCAATTTATAGAGTGTAAATTTTGCATTGCACATACTCCCTCTGTACTGTAATATAGTGTATTTTAGAAATTTTAAGACAAATTAAGAGAAAACATAAAAGACGTATATACCCTTATTTTATTTCTGAAATGATCAACATGCCCAAGAGGGGGGTGAATTAGGCTAATTCTAAATTTCTTGCAATAATAAAGCTCTACACTTAGCCCATTTCACCCCTTGTGCCTAGAGGTGTTTCTATTGTTCTATCGCACAAGAGTTTTACACCATAGGTTCCAATCCTACTCTAGCATGTCAATTCTAAGAATGTAAAGACATGAATTGAATTGCTCAAATATAAATGCTCAAAGTAAAGAGAAGGAGAGGAATACGGCGATATTTTTCCGAGGTATCGAAGAGTCGCCACTCCCCACTAGTCCTCGTTGGAGCACCCGCGCAAGGGTGTAGCCCCCCATTGATCCGCAGAAGGATCAAGTGCTCTCTACAAGCTGATTCTTCGACATACCGTCGAGGTGAATCACCCACAACCGCTCACACCATGACTTGGGTCATCCATAAGCTCCGCCGGATGATCACCAAGCTTCTAATCACCACCGAGTAGTCTAGGTGATGACGATCACCAAGAGTAACAAGCACAAACTCTCACTTGACCAAAACAAACCTAATAAGAAAGGTGGATGCACACTTGCTACTCCCTATGCACTAATGAGGTCCTTAATCATGGATTATGAAATCTCAATCACCCAACTAGGCTCTTGCTCTCCCTTGCACTCCAAAGGTGTTTCTCAGCTGAACAAATGAGCAAGAGAGCTAAGTTGGACGAGTGGGAGAAGTATTTATACACCCCACTTTAAAACATAACCGTTACTGTCCAACTCAGCATATTTACATAGTGACCGGATGCGTAGGTCAAGGTGACCGGATGCGCCGGTCAGTGGTCAACGGCCACAAACACCTCAGCCGTCAGACTTGACCGTTAGAGTGACCTGACGCTACCCAACGTCCGATCAGCGTCCACCTGACGTGTTCGGTCAAGAATTTTGCTCTCCGGACCTTCTCTATTGTTGACCGGACTCTGCAAGCCTTGTGTCAGGTCACTTTCCTACCGGCATCTGATGCAGTCAACATCAAGTCCACGCTGCCACAGTTGCGATCGTCGGTGCGTCCGGTGAACATTACGGTTCAGTGTCCTATCGTAGTCTGCCTTCTACTGTCGAGCAAATGAACTGACCAAACTCGCACTGCTGGGTCCGGTCACTACCAAACCAGTGTCCGGTCAATAAATGAGCACTTCATTCACTTCCAATTCAACATCTTCGTGAATGAGTTTGTCTCCAATCGATCTTAGGGCTGTACCTGAGCTACCTAGTGCTAAGTTTCACAAGTATGCACCACACCTAAACCATTAGACTTACCTAGGTCAAGCTACTCGTTCATACCCCCCTTAATAGTACGGTCTAAGGAAAAATAAAGTCCTAAACTACTCTAAGTGTCTCTCCAACGTCAAACAACACTTAGAACTAGTCTGTCCTTAACCTTGTCGTCCATCCTTTCAAAACTGAAACTATTTCCATCGATCGGGGCATGAAAACCATAATTGCCCAAACAATCATCACTACCATGACCTAACTCAAATTACCTCTGCAAAAAACACGTTAGTCATAGTAATCTTGTGTCGTCATTGATCACCAAAACCCTGCTAGGGGCCTAGATGCTTTCAATCTGTCCCTTTTTGGTGATTGATGACAACACTACCTCGAGTATGTAAATAAGAGATGGGTGAGGTTTTCAATATGCTTGGTTCATATAAGCATTTGACAATAAGAACAAGGGGCTAGGCATGCTTATATGACCCAAGCCAACACAATGTACTTATAAGATATGAATTAAGCATGAGTACATAAAGTAAAACTCATTTGAATCGGAGTATAACGCCGAAGCAAAGCAAATGAGCATAACCAAGTGACATGACATATATATATCAAAGTAGAGAGCACACATGTCACATAAGTCTCACAATCACACATATATCACATATAACACAATGCATGAAAGTAAGCGACAATGCATGAAGTAGCACGCAAAAGAACGAGTCCATCTCACACGCTCCCCCTAAGTCTAACATACTTGCTTCCTCTCCCCCTTTAGCGTCAAACACCAAAACCTAAGGGTTGGATGGTGGGATAGGAGCAGACGAGTCGGGCGCTAAGGTGCGGTGATAGATCTGAAACTGAGCTGCATCATCCTCGAACCCTGAACTCTAAGCGGTCGGACCCTCTAGAGCGAACTCAAGCAGACCCTCTGTCACTGGAAGAGGAGGTGAAGCGGTCTGGGTCTGCTCGGTGGACTCGATAGCTAGGTCGGTCTATGGAGACTCTGAAGCTATGGTAGTAGCCTGACCCTATGGCTCAAAAGGTGTCTCTATAGGAAGTGGAGCCACAACTGTAGCTGTCTCTGTCGCTGAAGCCTCAAGTGTGGGAGTGACTATCAGAGGCGGCTCTTACGAAGCAACAGAAGACGGGATCATCTCGGTAGTCCCTGTGACCGGAGCGGCTGTGGTAGGAGTGTTGGTATTTATAAATGCAAATAGAATATGAAGGATTCTGCAAGCGCACAGAATACCATTGTAGCATTTTACCATGAGTATTTTAGGTATCGTTATTTATATTTTACCACAGGAAAACAATGGAGTAAAGATTTATTGGGTAACAAAGGAGTATCTATTAACATACCAACATAGCTAGAGCAGGGGATAAATGTAGTGATAGGATTTAATCATAATGACACTCAGGGGATAGATCACTAAGATAATATAAATTAGTTAACTCAGGAGAACAACGGGTGAGGTAAATTATTGTGACATTCTTATCACATGGTCAAAGTATATATACATCCAACTATAGCTAAGACTAACTCTACTCTTGTACACTTCGGGACTCCGCTTAGACGGTAGAGCACCCACAGTAGATAACTCTACTGACGCGACTATGGTCCTACAATTTAAGAACCTGCTCAATTCGGAGTGGACTATAAAGGATAGTCGGGGTTGTCACCTCCCGCTGCTACCACCCAACCAGAGAACAGTGTGCACTCATAGGCAGAGCATCATATAAGCACCATGCTTACACGAGACTCGGCTACATAGCCTAACCGGTAAACTAGCAGGCTAAGCGCTCTATGAACCCGCACACAAAAGTAATGATAACCATAACTAAGGAAGATATATATTCAAAGTAAGCATAGCCATGTAGATAGAATATGATAAATTGAAAATAAGTCTTACAAGATGTAGAAGTAAAGATACAAGGCATTGCCGAGCCTTCAAGACTGGATCCAAAACTAGAGCATGAGCTCAACTCAACCCTCACTCCTGAGCTACTAATCCCTCTGGTGTATGTTGATCTGAATGAGAGATATGGATTATGGTTTCAGGATGGCTCCAGGGAGGGGGTAGGGGCTGCTATATATGGGGGTGCCTGGCACCCTCCCCCTCATAGTGAGCCTCATTAGTACTAAATTTTCCACCATATCTTATTAAAATGCACATGGCCTTTATGGGCCAAATTCTGAATTAGACCCAATTAATCATGTAGCTCATGATGTGGAGTTTTTCTTTTATTTATGAAATTTATATCTTTTAATTCCGAGCTCCAAATATAACAAATAGTATATCCGTTTCGATCAGCTCGATGAGCTCTTCGCAATGGTGCACTCAAATTCACTATTTGAGATAATTTTATTCTGTGAAAAATTAAATATCCTAGGAGACAAGTGAGAGCACCAAAAC